GCCAATAAATTCCTGCCAGCTTGTTGTGTTTCTCAGCTGGCTCACATACAGGAGCTTTCAAGCCCACATAAGATGTGACACCTCAGAGCAGCTCCTCTAGGATAAAATTATGTAACCGCAGTGCAACAAGGGAGAAATAGAGGAGGGGGGGGGGGGGGGGCATTTTCTGATCGTTTATATATGAAGCTTGAGTGGGAGTGACATTATATGGTTTGTTTAAAAATTCTAGGAAATATTTCAGCTACCCACTTGTCCTGGCACGGCGCGGCGGGCTAACAAAGAGCCCACATATAACTTGAAAACGACCAAATAAATATCTTCCGCTTTAAAGCGCCCATTGTTTCACAGCAGATAAATTTAAATCGGCCATTCAACCCAGCTGAAAGAGGGACGGTGGACTTCCGTGCAGGGGGGTGGGGGGAAACAGCGTGAAATCCAATTCGTTGTGTGCAGTAAATGTGAAACTCTGGTCAGCACTTCCAGCATGCGCTCAACTTTCCTCCCAAGTTAGCAGCTGCAAAGCATCCAGGCGCTACAATCGGCCGAGATCAAAGGAAACAGTGTTACAGCTCAGTAGTAACGCGCGCGAGCGCTGTGGTACGGTTGGATCTTACCTCGGTGGGAAAGGCAGCGATCCCGACTCCTTTCTTTATCTCGGCTACAACTTCCACCCGTCGTCGGGTTTGTGTTTGAAGTTGTGGCACACTTCAGGCGAGTCCGCTTCCCGACTTTAAAGCTGTATCACACCCTAAACTCGCGGGAGACGGTTCAGCCATCTGTTTGTCTTCACACTCTTGGGTTTGTGCCCGAAACAAAACAATTTTTGGAAAGTTAGCCGCTCGCTGTTTTCTGTGGGTGAAGCCAAGCAGCGTGCCGGAGAGCGACGAGCTGAGCGCAGAGAGAAAGAGTCGAAGCAGCAGCGGTGGTGTTTCCTCTGGCTCCTCCCACTCCTGCTCCCGCCGGCCAATGGGCTCAAGCATCAGCGCAAAGCTTTCCTTTATTCTCCAGCCAACCTGGATCAGTGTCCGTCATTATATTCAGAAACCATCGCCATGAATCACCCGAAACACCTGTCACTGTATGTTTCACCTGCCTGCTTTGTTCTCGCCTTTCCTTGGCTTGCGCGTAAAGAAGAAAATCTCCATTTCAGCGCTATCAATGAACGCCAAGCAGCCTGTGTTTGTAAAGGATTTAGCGGAACAACACAATGGAAAAGGGGAGTCTGTGAAAAAAGACGACATAACGATAGACAGAAAAACTATCCAGGACGGCATCGATGCTTGGTGTAAATACGCACAGGGTTAAAACTACACGTGTAATACAGGCTGATGTTTAAGAAAGGTTTTCCTGAAAGCTGTTGCTGCTGAGATTTTTACACTTTGATGTCACAAAACAGTCTAAAGATCACTTAAAATGACCTTCATTTCACAGACCAGTCTGCTCACCCAGCTCTGAGTCAAATGTGACCGAGATGAACAGCATAAACATAATTTCATGAAATAACTATTGTTACTAGAAAAAAAATCAACGCATTGATTGTGAAAGACAGCGGTGTGAAGTTGTAAATAACTAACCACGATTTTTTAACTGAATGAAAGGTAAAAAAAGTTACATGGAGGTTACATCATATAAGATTTAATAATCTGCTCTCTAGAAGGTTTTCAGAAAGTCACAGGTCCATCCAGCACACCCATCCCCACCCACAGATAGTCCAGAAACCACACAAACATTTTGCTTAAATTACTGAGATTTTTTCAGATTTTTTTCCAACTCGGTCAGCTATTGCATTATTTTGCACCATTTTTATAACACAGAGGTCTCAGTGTTGCACAACTCTTCCATAATGCTCACAAGAATAAACATTGTGGCAGTAAATCCCAAAATTTTTGATTATTTTTGAAAACCACAAAAATAGCTACCATGTAGATAACACAGCCTATTCCATGCAGTGGGATGGGCTGCAGCAGCCCCCTCGTGAAGCCGAATAGGATAAGTGGGAGAAAATGGACAGATCAACTGTGTACATTTTAATTTTGGAATGTAAACTATCCACAGGTTGACAAAGAATTAAAAAATTAATGATTAGAGTAAGAAAACTGCATACTGAAGTTCTTAAAGGATTTTCGCACATCATACAAGACGGCCAATCAGTAAAATATCTGGAACAACAGTCTTAGTGATCATATGATTGCAGGTTGAGCGCTGTGAGATTGTTTCTTCAGCTGAATTCTTGGCATTTTCTGCAGGAATTAAGCACTCGTGAGGTTTGCAACAATTCATAAAGAATGCGCTTCGGATCCAAGCAGCCTCTCAGGATGAGAAGCAGGTCAGTGAGGAGTCGTCTAAGTCAAGCCCGCTTGTACTTGTCTGCAACTCAAAGTTTTAGAAAAGAGACTAAAGTGAGAAAATGTAACAATTAAGCGCCAGCCTTTGCTGGGACATGCCCTGACATGTCTACATGTGTGATTGATGATGTGAACAATTTATTCTGTTAAGGTGTGGCAGTTTCAAGGCTCTGACGTTGTTCCAGTGGGTGAATTTAAATGGATTTGAATTTCTGCTAATGTTATTAGTGATTGTCGTGCTTTGACAGGTCATAGTGTCTGCTGTGGAAAAGCGTAATAGAAGTCAGCAGAGAAAACCTCATGGATTTAAACAACACTGGTTTGTTTGTGCACCGAGAAGACTGAAGTCCACCAGAGTGGGTGCCACACATCTCGGGTTTCCTCTGCCTCTCTTCCTGTTTTGAACTCCTTCTTAGTGTCGCTCAGCAGCTGCTTTTGAAGATTACAAACTGCTGCTGCTGCTTAGCTTTCAGAGTTTGTGTGGATGAGAGAAGCAGTGTTTTAAGCCGTCTTCCCTTTTATCCACTATTTCCTCTCCTATTATTTGCTTGACAGGGGATTTACATTTGAGTGCATCTCATTTATCAAGTAAGCAAACGTCTCATACAGCGAAACGTCCTGGAGTAACCTCACATCCTGGTGCAATACCTCAAAGTCTGACAGTCATAAACTGGCTGGTAATTCACAATTTTATAACAATTGTAGCCGCTACTCATTACTGCTGGAAGAGCCAAATGCTTTTATGCACACAAGTGCCTGAAGGAAATCTCCTTCAGGCACTTGTGTTTTTAATTTAAGCAGATTAGATTAATGAACTCATGATTGTAATCTAGGGTTAATTCATTTTGCTTTAACCCACTCCTCCCCGCCCCCGGCCCTTTTGACCCCCAGGGCTTGAAGCCTAACTGGTCTGTGGAGTGTGTGTGTGTGTGTGTTGTTCCAAGCTTTGTATGACTGGTCATTAATTACTGTTGGGCAGGCGCAACACTAATCAGACCCCCTACGATTGTTCATCAACACCCCCGACAGTGCAATAAACCACTCAGTGAGCGTCTGTTTAGATGACAGTAACCGCCACTCCATTGTTGCCTACACTGTACCACTTATTTGTTCGCTCAAGGCAGGTGGTCTTCTTAGTGAGGTCATCGAGTCTGAAACATAAAGCTGGGGGTCCTTGGAGAGGCCATCCTTAACCCTGGGCCCCAACGCAAACAGCACAGAGCTTCTTCTGACTTTCTATTCCTGTAGGCGACTCTGGCTTTTCATTTATTTTAGCCTGCAGTAAATGTTTTGGCTCATGACCCGCTTATCAAGGACAGCTGACATGTTTAGTCCTAACATTTATTGAAAATGATGTTATCTTTAAACAAGTAGATTTGACAGAATTGTCCCTCCTTTTAGAGTGACAGCCCATCCATAGATGGAAGAGAAATGCAGTTTAGTCTTTAGAAGGATAAAGTGTATCCTGATCAAAGTAGCACACAGAGGATCAGGAAAACTTGTGCTCAGACTACAATTTAAAGAGTGACTGCTCCTTTCAAAGGATGTCCGTGTGTAACTATTTTAAATAAATCTCACAATCTAAATTTAAGGGCTGCATTAAATATTTTAGATTATTATTTTTAGTTAATAATAAAATAAATAAAAATTATGACTTATGGGTGGAAAATAAATGAATACAAAATTAATTTCAGTAGAGGAAAATCAGCCTCGTTACAGATTAAAGTCTTATTATGTGCAGTGACAGGAAAGTTGACCTCACATGGTGTTGATCTGCACAAAGAGCATCTGCTTCATGAACAGTCACAAACATGTGTCGACACATGTAACTGTTTACAGCACACTGTGAAAGAGCCTAACTGAACTTAGTCAAACTCGAGGGAGTATTTAGCGGAGAACAGCTCCACCGTGTGGCAAACAAAAGCACTTTTGTTAAGGTGGATCACGTGCTAATAGGGGTGACCAGATGCCCTTCTTCATGTTGGACTGCACCGCATTTTTTACCCCTTGCGCTCCTGTCACGCATATTGAGACAATGTGCCGCACTTTGACCGGCTCTGCGGGATGCGTTCAAGTCTGGATTTTTATGCCCAACACTCTAATGCGCTAACTCTGAAACCAATAGGGGGGGGAAAGCCACCTAAACGTTACACGCTTTGCAGATTTTGAATCAAATTATCCAACAGAAAATTTAGCCGCAGTTTATATCGTTTTTTTCCTCTGGATAATTTCATTAGTTTCACACAAGGAAAAATGTGGCGTAAAGTGACACTACACGTGTCTCTTAATTGGCTAGAAAAATGCTAACGTTGGCTCAGTAAACATTGCATAGATGATGAAATCTAATGATGATTAACAGACAGGAGAAATAACAGGACATAAAGTTCAGATCCGCGTCATCCTTATTTTATTTACTTAGCAAGACAGTTGCTTTTAAATGCCATTTATTTGGCCTTTACATGCAAACCCGCACAGTACCTCCCTGTATTGCCAACATGTCCCACACGGTCCCACAAAAACACCGTTTTTAAATGTTCAAATGTAAATATACATAGTAGTACTGATCTGTAGGAGAAATGCTACTCGTAGCAGTACAGCTTATGTTGGGGGGAAAAAACTACATTTCCCATGAAACCGAGTGGCTTATACGGAAATGACGCAACAGGCACAGCTTCTGTCAAGGGCATCGGAAACTAACGCCGGCTAAGGCTAGCAGCGGCTGTTTGCACGTGTATTGGCAGAAGCTCCGCAAAGGTGAGTTTGAAGAACACGACTGAGGCGGAAATGGACGGCTTTGGTTCAGACTTCTCAGCAGGAGGGTCCGGCGGGAAAATGGACACCGGTACCATCATGGAGCAGGTCAAGGTCCAGATCGCGGTGGCTAACGCTCAGGAGCTGCTGCAGGTAGATCAATGAACACGGCTGCTAAGCTAGCAAGCGCACATTGAGGCTCAAAGAAGTGCTGAGTGCTTTTATCCTCACGGGTCAGAGCTACACAGCTTTACAGTAGCTTCGTTTTTCGTTCTGTGTGTAAGACTGTTTTATTTTTTAGCCCGCAATAACTTCCATAAGGTTGATGGATCCTGCCAGCATGTAAATACATGGCTCATATAAACACACGAGCCAGCACTGAAATGCTGCCGACACAAAAAGATCCTTTTGAGCCACAACGTTGGAGGGTCTTTTAATACATATGTTTTTTTTTTAAAAGTCATGCAAATATTCTGCGCTGCTGCTGTCAGAGTAGTAAATGCTAATAAAACACTGTTTCTATTTCAGAGAATGACCGATAAATGCTTCAAGAAGTGCATAGGCAAGCCTGGAAGCACACTGGACAACTCTGAGCAGGTATGCACTGGCTGAGTCGCTTCAGTGATGCCCTGCTGCCCAGAGCAAAGAAGTGATCACGTTTTAAGAAAGCAGGAGGGCATAACAAAAGTGCTGCAGGGCTCTAAGGCTTACCTGACAGGTGCTTTTGAGTGGGGCAAGCGCAAAAACATAAGGTGCTGCTGAGGTACTGCATCATCTTGTAGAATAATATATCAGGTTTATCGTAGGATAAGGTGGACCAACATGTATCCACTCCTGAGTCTTCATCAGTGTTATATATATAACATTTTTTGGTATTAATCACAGTTTCAAATCGGTTAAACTCTTTGTAGACCACGAGTGGTTTATTTCTCTGGACTCTTTTTGCTTTGTCCCTAACAGAAGTGTATCGCCATGTGTATGGACCGCTATATGGACGCCTGGAACACCGTGTCCCGAACATACAACTCCAGACTGCAGCGAGAAAGAGCTCGCATGTGAACTCTCTTCATCTTTCCCTTCTTCAGGCTGCTGCACACAGCGAGGGCCGATGCAGTGCTCTGCAGGAGGGCCTGCGCCGTGCACGACTTTGCCACGCAGCGGCGCAACATCTGTCACAGTACCTCTGACAGGCAGAGCACAGCCTGTGGACTGCAGCCATAACGGTGTCTCTGTGGACAGTTTTATTTTGCTCTGAGGAACAGTTCACTACCAATGTTAAATCGATTGTGTGTTTTACGTTAGAAATATAATCAGTCATCTTCTGCGGGTTCTTGCCATGCTGATTGGAAACACTAAATTACCTGCTTAGGTGTGAATGTGTTTTAAAGTGTTTGCTGATGCTGTGGCAGGAGGCGGAGCCTGCTGTGCTGCTATAAGGACTCCAGGTGCAGTTTGGCTCAATAGGCCCAGCTTACTTACTGTGACTCATCTCCCTGCCCATCGAATGCTTCTGCCTGTAATACCAATAACAGTAAACGTCTCCCAGTCACTGCAGACTCTCCTTTAAACACTGCTTCACATTCTTTGCCGGGTGATTGTGCTTAGAGATTAAATATTTCCTGGAGCCTTAAAGGAAAAAAGTGCTTAAAAATCATCAGGAAGAATCGAAGCGTTTTGGTGTTTTCACCAGCATGAATTTGACATTTCCAAGCCACCAAACAGACCTATATCAAAGTACGCCTGGAGAACAACACTGTTTTGTCTGACATGTTTTCTGGTTGTCACTCTATCTGCTGCCCTCCACAGTAGTGGGTTTGTTCCAGCGGGGTCTCCCTCGCCCTGACGGGGTACTGCACCTTTCTCAGCTTCGTGTGTGTGCGGTTTGTTAGATGTCTGGGAACCTCCTGAGTTTGTGTGAGGAGCCAGAAAAGCTGTGAACATCATTTGCAATCAGTGATTTTTTTTTTCCCCCCAAGAAAAAATAATAAATTAATCAATCGGGTGTTCTCTCGTTTCTGATCAAAAATATCCACCAACAGAACGACACCGAGTCCCACGTCACTGACTTTGTACAGAGTAGACTTTCCCCACAAATCCACGTTGCAGTAAAAGATCACAATACCATTACATTTACCCATAAATGAATCCCATATTGTCCACACAAAATACACAAAGCCACGTGCAGTGTGTTTACCATCCATGACAATAAATAACTAATAAATACTCCAAATGATCCGTGAATGAATGTTTAAGGCACAGATCAGGATTGTTTCCTCAGTTCAGGTAAAGCACAGCACTACCGCCAGCACCCGTGACCGGAGGGTCACAAAGGTCAGGGCTGTGCACACTGAGTGTTTGTGTGTGGCTGTTTAGCATGACCTCAGTTCTCTGCAGACACAGTTCTTCCTTCATCAGAAGGGTAGGTATGTGGATATCCAGCTCCTGATAGACGTCACACGAGTGTAAACTCCCGGGAAACCGACTCGGCCGCATCCGTGTCCCCAGCTGGTTACTCCAGCGATAAACCACTGACCGGAGGGCTGACGACACGTCAGCGGCCCTCCAGAGTCTCCCTGCAATATCAAAACACATCAACAGTTTCATTTGGAATTTAAATAACTTTAAATTCTATATAAATGTGCTCTATAAATACAGTGATGATTGATTAACTCATTTATAAGAGCAGACTGAAGATGAGTATGGCAGCAGGGGAGTAAATGTCAGTCAGTCTGCAGCTGAGCCCGGTGCTCTGACCGAAACAGGAATGCGTGAGGGTTTCGTTACATAAGACGATTATGGAGAGGGTGCAGCGGGGTGGCCTGCCTTCGCTGAGGAAGACAGCGTACATTTTCTATCAGGTCAGCGTTTGTGAGGCGGTCACATTTTCTAGATTTATTCTTTTTGGAGTTTTTTCTCTTACATCTGATTCTTGTTTTTAAACCTTAATTTATTCATCAGCCTTTTTCCAAAGGTGAACCAGAGAAGCCTGTAAGGGGGGAGATCAAGGTTGACTTTGCTCCGGCCTGGTTAACCATTCACTGGTAAGACACCACAGTCATGGTAAATGGCCTGCATTTGTATAGCGCTTTTCTAGTCCATAGGACCCCAAAGCGCTTTACACTACATTCAGTCACACACACATTCACACACTGGTGATGGCAGCTACATTGTAGCCACAGCTGCCCTGGGGCGCACTGACAGAGGCGAGGCTGCCGGACACTGGCGCCACCGGGCCCTCTGACCACCACCAGTAGGCAAACATGGGGTTAGTATCTTGCCCAAGGATATTTGGCATGCAGTCAGGAGGCAGCCTGGGATCGAACCACCGACCTTCTGATTAGTGGCTGACCTGCTCTGCCACCTGAGCTACAGCCACCCCATACTTCATACTTCCTCCAGCCTCCGAGCACTACATGCAGTGCACCAGCCTGATGTTAAAAGTCTCCAGGTTAGGAACATTTTAACAATTGTGAAACAGGAAGTGCAGAAGTCTGTGTGAACATCTTACCAAGCAGGTGTCCCGACCTCCCGCCATGAATCCCGCACACATCATGTTTGAAGTCAGAACGCTACCGTATGATTGCTGACAGTCCGCCTGGTCAATGATGTTCACAGCAGCTTTCTGTAGCAGGTTGGTCAATGAACCTGAGGAAAGAGCATTGCACACAGAACAGGTGTGATCGCAACACCTGAGCACCAGTTTTTTTGTTGCTGTGGAAACAAAATTCCATTCAGAGGCAGATAAGGCAGAAGCTAAGCTGATAAAGGCTGCAGTCATATCACATTCACTCGTGAAAGGCCGAACAGGCCACGGAGCTATTCCTGCTTTTCTACCTCTGAAGGCTGAGTCACGTCAATAACGTGAAAATGATCTCACCTCTCGGGCTCCCCTGCCTTTATTTCTTAGTGAAGACATTTCATTTTTTTCCTGTGTGACCTCTAAATGCAGGACGTTTAGTTTCGTGGGTTCATCTCTCACCTCCCTCTCTCATGGATCCCCACCCTGTGATGTAGCACTCTGCGTTCTTTAAGAAGCGGTGTACTGGTGATGGAAGACAGACAGACTGGATGGTGTAAGACATCGGGGCTGGGACGGCCAGCTCCAGCAAAGCCACATCGTGGTCCATGTTGGTGCCATTAAAGGCCGGGTGGATGATTACCCTCTGGATGGGAACGACCAGGGCTCCTACCCCCGATCGCAGCACAGATCCCAGGCTCACGGCCCAGTTATTGGGAGTAGAGTCACTTTAGATGTAAGTTATTAAAATTAGAATCACTCCTGAGCTTTCAGTGAAACGAGTTTTGATATAAATGTATGAAATACCTTTTGAAGCAGTGCGCTGCAGTCAGTAACCACCTATTGTGAATGAGCGTGGCACCGCATCTGTGAAGCCTCTGGTACTGAAGACTCCCGATCCAAGGCCACTCTCCCCTCCGAGCTGTGACTCCACCCACGATCCTATGGGAGCCCAGTGCAGGGCGCACGCCGCAGTCTTAAAAACCAAAAAACCAAAACGCAGTTAAGAAGATAAGAAGAATGACCCTTAAATCCCTCATGCTCCGTCCTTCGTGCATTTTAAGTTTACCACAGTTTCTTTCATCAGCCCCATTGGGACAGTCTGCGGCTCTGTCACACTCCGGGTTGACCTTGCTGATGCAGGAAGTGGAGCTACACTCAAAGTTTCCACTGCAATTCAAGGCTGGAAAAAACACATTCATTAAATAAATGAATCTCAGTAACTGATAAAGCTCTTAAGATTAAGGAGCTTTCAGGCTGACATTACCAGACAGTGGTAGCACTGCTGCAGACGACACATTATCAGCTGAGGTCCCGAGTGCTGGTGGGGTATTAAACTCTGTCACTGTGGGAACATGCTGGCCATAATCATGAACCGAGGTGGGATCAGTCTGGCTTAGAATCCAGTTACGGAGCCTGGTAACACGGGAATAAACCCCAGGTCTGTTGACCTGAGCGCAGCCCACACCCCAGCTCACTATCCCGGCCAGGAAGAATCTTCCCGGGGCCCCCTCGCACACCAGAGGTCCTCCGGAGTCCCCCTGCACATGACACACATGAGCTGACAGATACTCTGAAAAGTGTCATTTTTGGTAACTTTCAACTATTCAGCATCAGGTAATCCGTCCTGGTTGGTCAGGATTAGCATCATTAGGCTAATCACCACGATTTTAAGCATCAGCTCTGAACCTTGAAAGTCACGGAGCTACTGGGAGATATGTCTCAGAGCATGTTGTCTTTATCAGGGAGACGACACGACAGAAGGGGCACGACATGTACAACTGTCAAATATCAGCTGCTGTAATTCACAGCTATTGCTTTAAATGTTGAAACAATTATGTAATAAGTGCATTTTACACATTCTTAAAGTTCATATTTTTGTCTAAAGAAATAACATTTTACGTACAGAGAGATAAAATTTCCAAAACGTGTTCAATAATTTATGCAACATCAGATATTTTGAAGTGGATTTCTATCAGACTGAGCCTCTCGCGGTATAATCAACAGCACACGGTTATGCTGAGATGAACAGATGGCTCAGAGTCTCAGTTTTTAAGGTGAGAACGGTGTGAATATTTTTAGCGATCCTCAGACCTTCATAGGTCATAGGTCATAGGTATAGACATGCCCCACTGCATGTGAACCGTTTTCACCACTGACCTGACACGAGTCCACCTTGCCCTGCAGGAATCCAGCACACATCATGTTTGGAGTGATCGCTCCTCTGTACACAGATGACTTATTGCACACCTTGGAGTCAATGACTTTGACCACAGCTTTCTGCAGCGTGGAGGGCAGCGTGACTGCAGAAGAACACACACTGATTACTCCCACTTGTCATATTTCACCTTAAAGGACAAGACGACAGCTTTCAAGAACAAGTTTTTAGGATTTTCTTTTCTAAATGACTCGTCTGTTGCATTTTGTGTGCATTCCTGCGGACTCACAGCTAAACTGGTGTACGGCACCCCAACCGGACACAATGCAGCTCTGACCAGGTGCAAAAACATGAGATGGGGAGGGTATGCAGACAGGCTGCACGTAAGAGCTGAACGCGAGAGGCGTCTCCAGCTCCAGCACAGTTACATCATTGTCCGTGGTCATGGGGTTGTAGTCTAGAGACACAGTTATGGACTTGATGTTAATCGTTCTGGACTCTGGCTCCTCACCGCTCACCAGCGTCGCCCCAACCAGGGCTGTCCATTCTTTGGGGTTATTGACCCTAAAACCAGAAGAGGCAATCATAAATGATGGTGTATATTCATGAAATGGGATTGTTGTTTCTTAAGGACTTTTCTAGCATTTTTTCAAAAGCCAGAACAGAATACTTGATCAAAAACAGAAAAAAACTGAAAATCATTTCCAGGCTCGTGTGCAGATGTGTCCTAATACTGATTTATTGCACGACAGCACATGAGGAAATGTGTTTTATGTAACTGTTTGCAAAGTGGTGAAAGAAGCATCATAGTCCTGTTTAAGTAATAGTGGGAAAACCTAAGGATCGAAACATTGCTAAAGTAAAAGTACCCAGAAACATATACATCACAGTTAATATGCAAATTAATTTAATGGTGCACTGGTAGATAACTTTATTACTTGTGTACTGCTGGGTATCTTTATCAGTCTTGCCCCGCCTTACCTCTCTGAGCCTCACCCCCACGCACCAGCTGCTCCAGGGGGCGGGGCCTTTTCTACATTATGAAATAACCTGACCTTGCAGTTAGAGAGGCCGCTTCACTGTCCACTTTCAAAACATGTCTTAAAACCCATTTTTATTCTTTGGCTTTTGACCTCAGTGAGACTTAATTTCTCTTGTAATTAAATTAGTTATTTATTTAATTATTTTATTTTTGCTTTTATTTATATATCTTATGTAATTTTATTATTTAGTTCAAATGTACAGCACTTTGTGTCAGCTGTGGTTGTTTTAAAGTGTTTTATAAATAAAGGTGATGATGATGATGTACCAACGAGGCAAAGAATACTAGTAGACGTGTGTTTGAAAAACAATTTATAATTAAAGCTTTAAAATGAATAGCATGAACAACCAAGGACAGTATTTACCTCCAAAACAGCGCGGAAGGAGCAAAGCATACAAATACTACAGTGCTGTATACAGTAAGTCCGTGCTGTGCTTCTGTAAAGCACCTGTAAACTGTAAGCTACATTTCACCTCTCCATACTCTCAAACGATGGCATTGAGCATGTGAAGGTCGAAAGCTTAATGATTGTATTGATTAGCATCCAAAATTTTCAAACGACTGTTTTTAAACGGGTTTAAATCAGAACTACCTCTCAAAGCAGTGAGCTGCGCTGACGAGCCAGCGTTCATTGACGATGGTGGCTCCGCAGATGTGCCGCCCATGGAACCTCAGGCTGACCTGCCACGGCAGCTCCCCTCGCCGTGCGTCCTCACCGCCCACCACCCGACTCCCCGTGGCAGGACGCGTACCGCAGGCTGTGGGTTGGGTGAAGAAAAACTAGTGTAAGTGATTAAAAGCAGATATGTCCCAGTATATTCTGCTCAGGTCTGTGGTAACGATGCACACTCGTTAATAACATAAGGAATAACGGAGCTACTGTGTATGTCTGCTGTAGTTTGAGGAGTCATTCACCACAGCGAGCTTCATCAGATCCATCTGCGCAGTCTGGGACGAAGTCGCACTCTGGGTTTACTTTAGTGACACATTCTCCGCTGTCACAGGTGAAAGTGTTGTCAGGACAGCTGGCTGCAGAGCCAAAAACACTTTCAATACGCATGAAATAAATGAATAAATAACAACAACAATACATAGTAGAGTTTTTGCAAAACTGGTGACTTATTAAAGTTACAATTCTTACTTCTAAAGATAAATTTGCACATTGAAAACCTGCTGGATGAGCTGAAAAATGGACTGTTTCAGAACACAAAGGCCGATTTTTGGCTCGTGAAAAGCTGAGACTTTGTTGAACACGATTTAACAGGATAATGAATGGATGGATGTTTGGGAGGAGGTCGGATGTCTGTGCGGCAAAGCCATTCATTCCAGATGGAAGTGACATCATTAGGTGAACATTTGAGTTTAGCTTGGCTAATAATAAAAGAAATGAAAATACTTTTTTGAGGTTATGGAAGTCAGATAAAGAGTTTGATGTATCCATTTCTTATACAAATAAAGATGTAAATGATAAACTACATTTCCACTGCTATAAATGTATAAAGTGTTCAAAAACATTTTTACAGTAAATTTCATTTACAGTAACTTTACTTTCCTGTAAGTACTTTTACAGTCATTTTCTGGCATCCAGCTGGCGGCGCATTACTGTTAAATTTGCAGCACAAATGTGTGTTTGGTTTTGTGCGTGCGAGTGTGTAACTTACCTATCATACTGTCTCCAATAACATAAAATGACTTTCCACTGGCTCCTACAAAGAAGGAGGAGTGATAGTTACGATCTTCGTCACTCCTAGTAAACATAAAGACTCTGGTGAAACACACAGACTGGTGACAGCTTTACTACCCAGCAGGATGACGGCGTCGATCTGTCCAAACTCAGGCACCTCCAGCGGTTTCCCGTGCATCGATGAGCTGAGTCCTGCACTCAGCAAGTCCTGAACAAAGTTTTCTGAATACTGCTGGATCTTGGACACCCTGAAGACGAGTCGGAGCGTCGCCATCACTTCTCCGTTAATGTTACTAGGAAGGCGAGAAGAAAACTGGCAATGTTCCATCTTACATCCTGTTTGTGTCTTGAATAAATGACCCAGTGCTTACCCATAGGCAACAATGCTGCAATCAACAAAGTGACGTGTTATGGATGAGGCGGTGAAGACGTTTTTAATCTGAAAGGTGAGAATCAGTAACAGTTGAACACCTTTAAAATTAAGACCTGCGCTCCCGTTGTGTTGTGAATCAGCACTAACCCTGGACTTTAAAACTGAGGACAGTACTATGGAGAAACCAGAGCTTTTATCCTGCAGTGCAGCGTCGTACTTCAGACCTCTGAGCTCCACTGTCTCCATGAAATGATGCTGCTCCTGCACAAGGTACGCTGCGGGTAAAGCAGGAGGAAGTTATCAGTAAGTGATGCATCTGCAGTGAAATCTTTAAACGGTTCGTGCTGGTTTAAAAACGTCTGATGAATGAGTCACAAAACATTACACCCAACATTCGTGTGCAGGCTCACCTATAACCAGGCCGACAAAGATGCCAATAATAAGGAAGAAGAGGAGGAAGAGTATGAGACCGCTCCTGTAGCAGACAGAGCTGGAGGGAGCGGGAGGCGAAGATGACCACGGCCCTCGGCCTTCATCCTTCTGCGCTTCCATGTTGGATTCACAGCCGTCACAACCCACCGTCGACTGTCTCCAGCAGCATAATGCCTCACAGGCAAAACGATTCAAGCCTGCGTGAAATAAACGTGCTGCGTGTCACTGGAGTTAGTGTGACATGAGACTGGGAACATGATTTTAAACAGACACTTTTACACACGCGCGCGCACACAGAGTTACATTTAAAGATACTTTTAGTTCTCACAAACTGTTTGTCAGTAAAGAAATAATGATCATAAATACTCAAACTATTCAAAAGTACAAAAAAAGTTACCGCCCGGCGGCGCAGCCTGAGGAGCGCGTAAAATAAACCACGGAGGCCATGTCGCTTAATCACAAATCAGATGTGGGGAAAGGTCACAGTAAAGACAAGAAAACGTCCGTAAATCTTTGCAGATAAACTCCACACAGCGTCTCAGGTACGTCTCACACAGCGGAGCTTTAAACAATGCAGGCTTTATGTTCTGAGGTAGACTCACTCACCTCTTCATCTGTTGCTCTCAGCACTGACATTTACAACATCCCGAAGTTCCAGCAAGAACAGACACGGAGACTGAAGACCGGGCGAGGACACCAAGAGGTCCGCTATTTGTTCCTTTGGCCAGGAGGCGTGCCTTTCCCCCGTCCCGCAGGTAACCCACCTTTTTCTGTTTGCCTTTGAAAGTCGGTAAGTCTTCACAAATCTCTGGCAGACCCTCCTTCCATGCTTGTTGATCCCTTTGGTTACACCCCGGTGTGCACAGGTGTTTCTGCTGTTACCTCATAGCTGACCTGCAGCTGACCTGCTGTCCACAGTCTCCGGGTAAATATCAAACACGCATCCTTCAGTACAGCAAATTGGAACAAAGCAGAGATGAAAATGGCTCGAAACGCTCCAGAGCGGCTCCGGTGCTGCTCGTCAGTGCTCCACTGACACAGTGACTGAGCAACAGGAGGAGGAGGGGCCGAGCCTCCTTTAACTCGGCCTTTTTGTTCCTGCCTGCAAGTTCTGCACTTACAACAAGCTGGCAAACCATTAAGACCCACAGCGCCTCCAGTCTGACACTTTACTGACCTCTTGCATCGAGGTTAATGGTGCACAAGGGTTAAAGTGTATTTAAGGCTTTATTCATAGTTTCCATAACTGAAAACACAGTTTAACTACTCTGTAATTATTTGAACAGGAACAGTTGTCCCTCATTTCAAAGCACATGGGTCAACTTTTAACAAACAATGGACACGTTCTGCTGTAAAGCTCGAGGTGCAAACTGGGATTATTCCCCCGCCCTGCTAAAGCACAAAGGTGCAACAGCCTCTTTGTTGGTGTGTTTACAGGCTTGAAGTTGATCTTCTCACACTCAACACACACTCCCAGTATTCCTTTCAAAACTTTAAGTTCATGACCAACATCATCACACTGTTAACTGGCCGCTCACACGGATCACTGAACATAACCAGGTGGTGTTTAAGTACAACGACCACTCGCTGTGAAGTCAGGGGGCTGAAACAGAAATCAGCTCTGGCCTTGTTGTATTTTTGTGATTTCATGGTGCTCCAGATGTTTGCAGCTGGTGAAACTGGACTGCACATCGATCAGCACACTGTGTACTATGGTGCCATGCTGCTGTAACAGATTCATGTGTTTCAGCATCGTATTGCTGAAATATGCAAAGCCTTGCCTGAAAAAAGACACCACTGGGTGGGAGCATGCGTTGGTCTAAAACCTGTAAATACCTTTCAGCATATAGTCCACGTCCACAGACACTGACACCCCCCCGTGACAGCAGGGATGGAGGCTTTTGAGCTTGGTGCCGACAACAAGCCTGATGGACCCTCTCGTCTTTAGGCCAAGTTTTCAAATAAGAATTTAAATTCCATCACAGTTTTCCGCCAGAGAAGGCCGGGACGTTTCTGGATCACGTGGCTTCTCTTCAGATTTCTTCTTGTCTTTAATGTGCATTTGTGGATGACACAGTGAACTCTGTTCAGTGATTTCTGGAGGTGTTTTTGAGCCCGTGCAGTGATTTCCACAACAGGCACATGTCTGTTTTTATTAAAGTTTTTGATTTCTGGCCTCTTTTGACGTCTTGCACTGTAGACATATTGAGTCTTTAAGTTCTAAAACTTTCATCACAATTTGCATATTTCACAATTTCTGCGAAACTGTCTCTAAGATGCTTCTTCCACAGCCGATCACGTTGGGCCTCAACTGGCAACAGCTGCTTCATACAACTACACACAAACATAACTTCACCTCTTTCGTAGCCTCCATATCAACTTTTCTGCAACATGTTGCTGCCATCACATCTTAAAATGGCACATTTACTTAAATTATTATGAATAAAATGCAGATTTATGAAATTTGCAAATCATTGCATTGTTTTTGTGCACATTTTGAAGAACGTGCCAACTCTTTTGGAATTGGCGTTGCATTGTTAAGCATTTGACGTATTTTTTTGCTGGCTAAGCTGGACAGCGAGCAGTGGGTCCAAAAGTATGGAGCGAGCCACAGAAGTTGGAATCTGGATGAAAGGAGAAAAATAAAGCTTGAACTCATTTCAATAAAGGAGTTTTTAGGAAGGATAAACACGAGACTGCTGATGCAGTCATGCCCGTGTCTCTGAGTCTTTGCTTGGTTTTACCAAGTGGTTAAAAACTGAAAGTGCGAGGTGTGAAATGGCAGAGAACCCGTGACACTCAGTGTACGAGATAAAAATGGAACCACATCTAACTCGAGTCATGCTGCTGTTAAACTACAGCGACTTTCAGGAATCTCTAACTCACATTCAAAGTGGTCGTTTTCACAACCTTCATGTAATTCTGAAGGCAAAGATGTGCAGCCAGCAGAGTAGAGCAAAACTTCCAAAAGTCGGCATAATTACATTTTCACTTTATTTTCTTATCAAAACAACAAAGAATAGTAAAAAGTTCACTTATTCTGGATAAAAAGAAAATGGTACTGTTTACACATCCCACATTTATGGGCTCTTTACAACACAAATCTTTACAAATTTGCACATCAGACTGAAATAAAAGTGAAGTGCATTCAAACGTCTTTTTGCTGCTTAACTAAATCGACTTGGCTCCATTAATGATCACCGTTATTGTTAAAACGAAATAAAAACTAAGGAAAAGAAACAACGAAATATTCAAGTGTGTACAAGTACGTGTAAGTTAGCAGGGGAGAGCTTGTGCGTTAGCCGTCCTGCTGCTGTATGAATGGGTTTGGTATGGCTTCCATGCCATCCTGAGGACAGATCAGCACTACGGAGGTTCCTCTGCAGACCACCAGCCCCAGCTGCCGGGTGTCTTCTGTCAGCTTCAGCTGGTCATCTGGATCTAAACACAGGAGTTGCAGGAGCACACAAGTAAGCGTCATATTATCTACGACAGCAGTCGATGCTGCACGATCAGTTTAAATACAGACACGGCTTTAACAGTAAGCCCCACCAGTGTTCAAGTAACTCCTATGAGCTACTCAGTTTCAGTTTTTTCAACCCTAACTTCACTGTGGTGTCGCTGAGAAGGTTTAGCCTTAATATCTCAGGTGCAGGAGCTCCACCCACCTGCTGGAGAGGAGCTGAGTAGCTATTTCAAACAGTCAATAACATGAGGCTCAGTTTAAGTTAAAAAAGCAAAAACAAAACTTTAATTTAACTCAGCTGGGCTCACACTTACACCCACACGCTGACGTGACTTTAGCATGAAAACTCCTCAGTGTGAGTGAAAGCTACAGCTGTCATAGCTCACACTGAGGCTGGTGGTCGGCCCTGAGATAAGGATCAACGCTTGGTGAAACACACAGCTCGACTCAGTATACTAAATAACATTTCCCAGTTGTGGGACCATCGGAATACTTTCACCATCACCAGTAGCGTTATTTTATTTTATTGGGTCCTCCTTCAGTAGATGTGATCACAGAAACACTCAGGTTAGTCTGGGCACTGCCTCAGTGTTGCAAATGACTCATTTGGGTTCAGGTTAAAGGAAACGCAAAACACTTTTCAGTGCTGGCGCAGTCTTGTGTCATTCTTTGTTCCTGTAAATCATTTTTCCCTCGCATGGTCTTGACTTTAAAGCGCACACTTACCGCGCATATACTCAATAGTGCCGTCCAGCACCAGGTTCAGCAGAGGGTCAAATCCTTTAAGGACACCGCTGGCTGAGGAGGAAACAAATACACGGTGTAAAGTCTCCATTAGCTGGACATAAGGACAGCAAATCCCGCAGCCCTGCTTAACTGTTAGCTTGTTATCATAACTGATCCACCTACCTTCTCGTCCTCCTTGAAACTTTACACGAATCGGCTTATCGATGTATTTGGACAAGTCGAAGATGCTCTCCTTTTTCTTTTTGTCTTTATCCTGCGCAGAGAAAACAAAACACGCCGTTTGTGAGTCGCATGTGTGCTAGCCGCGCACACAAACACCAGCTGAGCATGAGCCCAGCTAGCTAGGCTAGCCGTGTTAGCTAACGTGATACAACAAAAACACCTTATATTACTTTGAACGTGCTGATTTAAACCCGGGTTACGGCTGAAACACACACTCACGGGCTAACAGCATATCCGACAACGTTAAAGGTGCAAAGGCAGAAAAGTATTTGAATGTACGAACTCACCGCCATGTTAGCTGCGTGACACGGAAGTGAAATTTCGACCTCAAGAATGTTCCACCAATCAAAACACCGAGCGCCTTTACATGACGTCACTGCTTTTTAAAATGGTTTTATTGACTCTTCATGATTTAATTTAATGGGGCTGGTATGATAGGGTGAGTTAGTTTTTATATTATAATATTTTATATTATAACTCACAGTTTTATCATCAGCATCTGCTTTTGGAACTGACCCCCTTTTCCTTTGCTGTCAGTCGAGGGGGGGAAGTCTATTAATAGCACCAGCTGGTGTGTTGGAAAGCAGAGGACGAGGATCCGAGCAGAACACAGGAGGAGGGGTGGCTGTTTGTTGTGACATGGCTGACAGAGGTGACCATGAGCTGAAACTGCAGAGCTTTGAATTGACGCTTGTATCAGAAGAAGAGGATGAGTCTGCTTCACAGGTGAAGGACTCTGAGGCTGATATAACACCTGATGCTAGCCTACAAGTAGAAGGAGAGATTTTTTATGTCAACCGTCAACATCTGGCCCTGCAGAGCCCTTACTTCAGGGCTCTGTTCTTTGGCCGTGGGTTGGAGAGCAGCAAAAGGCAGGTAGAGATTAAAGGTGTGAGTCTGCAGCATTTCAGGACCTTGATGGAATATACCACAACATGCAGCCTGTCTTTGGACAGAGAAAATGTTACGGGCATCCTCGAGACGTCCGACTTTTTGCAGCTGGAGCGAGCCAGGCTGCTGTGCTGTAAGTTCCTGGAGCGTGAGCTGCACCTCAGCAACTGTTTGGGGATGATGGCCTACGCCTGGCAGCTGGGTTGCACTCAGCTTTATGCCGCAGCACGACAGGTGGTGCTCACTCACTTCTCCGCTATTTCAGCTGAAGAGGATTTTCTGTCACTCTCAAAAGAGTCAGTAGCAGATCTACTTGCCAGCGATGACCTAACCATCCATAAAGACGATCTGGCTCTGGAGGCAATACTGCGCTGGGTGTCATTTGACCCTAAACGAGAAGAATATTTCCTGGAGCTCATTGAGCTGGTGAGGCCCGAGTCTCTGTCCTTGCCTTTCATCACTGAACTCTTGACCAGAATGAAAAGCTCTGACCCCAGAGCCAGGCTCATCATAAAGCTCAATGAACATTTCCCAGCATCTTGGTCAGTGGGCAGGTCAATGATGAGGACCAGGGCCAGAGAGACCCTGTTCGTGCTGGGCGGGCCTCATGATCAGGAAGAACAGGCGCTGTTCCAGTATCACCCGATGAGTGGTAGATGGCAGAGCTGCGCGCCCCTGCAGAGGAAGAACCTCACACAGTACTCCGTGGCTGCAGTGGGTAATGGATGCATAATGAAACTGGCAAAAGTTAGATGTGTGCTTATTTTTCATGTGCTCGTTTTTATGATCTTACATGAATATTGAACATTAAATTTTCACTGATTTTTTAAAATTTCCTTTTTATTTAGGAGACAGTGTGGTCGTGACAGGTGGCTACTTCCGGGATGTTCTGTGGTTCAGTGTGGATTGGGTCCGGCTCTACGAATGTGGGAACCAGCGCTGGGTGGACGGGCCAGCCCTGCAGAAGTCCAGACACAGCCACTGCTCCATAGGGCTCGAGTCAGTACTGTATGTCCTGGGGGGAAGTATGGACGAAGGTCTTGTGGATGATGTAGAAAGGCTGGTCCTTGGGTCAGAGGAGGGTTGGGAGGCAGTGAGTCCCATGGTCAGGGCCGTAGAGAGGGCAGCCACTGCTGCTCTGGGGTCGTGTATCTACGTGGCGTGTGGGCTGGATGAAAATGGCGAGGTTTATGGTGGAATTCAGAGGTATGTGGCGAAGGAGGATCAGTGGGATGTGGTCTCCTATTCTCCATTTCCACGGTGAGTATCTTTCTGACACTGCCAGATTTACATTCTTATGAAGTTTGAGCTTTCAAATTAAATGATACAGGATGATCAGCTGACAATTAAACAGAAAGATGAATATGTTTTTCTTTAGATACGACCTGGTTGCCACGGAGCTCAACAGTGCCCTCTACCTGTTCGGAGGCCAAGCCCTTCGTTTTGACATGGAGACAGATGAGTGGACGGAGCTGGAGGAGGAATGTCTGAACAAAAAGTTCTTCTGTGGCTGCTCCTCAGTCACTGGGCAGATATACCTGCTCAGCGAGAGAAAGAGTAACAAAGCATTCCCGAACATGGTGCTGCTGGACCCTTACATAGACACCTGCATTGAGGTAGATGATGCTATACCCTGTCCCGTGCCCCTCAGAGGGTGTGTCACCGTAAGAATGATCCCATGATGCTCTATGATGGTTGAATGAATGTGGAATTGTGCAAATCTCTCGAGCCATCCCTCTTTCTTTATATTTGGTCTGACCACCTTTAATTTTTCAGCACAGGCTGAACTCTCAGGCAAGCTTTAAGTAGTCTTCAGGAGTAGTTCTCCAGGCTTCTTGGAGGACATGCAAAGCTCTTCTTTTATTCTATTCTCTGTTAAGATGATCCCAGAGATCAATAACGATGAGTTCCAGGCTCTGTGAAGAGCAGGAAGCAGGCGGAGGTTTGAAAGTCAGAAGAAGCAGAATACATATGTGTGAACAAGAGGGAGACATGCAAAGAGCAGTGATGGTGAAGGTAGATCCGTTTAAATATCAACCATCCAAGAAAAAGGAGAGTCCAGAAGAGAGTGCAGTCAGGGTGGAGTGGGTGGAGACGAGTGTCAGGAGTGATTTTAGACAGAAGGATAAAAGCAAGAAGCTACAAGATGCTGGAGAGCTGCTGTGATGTTTGGAGATGCTAGAAGCACGCCTGGAGGTGGAGTGACGAGGACTGATGGAGCTAGAAACGAGTACAGTTAGAGAGGCAAGGCAGGAATGATTTGGACATGTGCACAGAAGGGATGGTAGATATATTGGACAAGGATGTTGAATATGGAGCTGCCAAGCAGGAGGCAGAGAGGAAGACCTCAGAAAAGATTCATGCATGTAGTGAGGTAGGACATGCAGGCGCTCGGTGTGACAGAGGATGCTGTCTGTCACACGGTGGAGTTCCTGCAGAGCCCAACTGCACTGGCTGAGACTCAAACCATGACAGAGCCTCCACTGTGTTTCACAGATGGACACACTGCTGTACCTCTCTCCTGACCTCTCCTGTACACACTGGCCACGATTTGAACCAAAAATTTCAAATGTAGATTCACTCCACAAGACTCGTTGCCACTGATTTTAAGTCCAATTTGGCAAACCTCTCCCTGTTTCCTTTCATTAAGAATGGCTTGTGGACAGCCACTGAGAACATTTCTGAGGAGGCTTCAGCGAACAGCAGATGGATCAGCTGAAGGGCCAGATGCATCTCTCAGGTCCTGTGTCACGGCTTTGCTTGTGTGGTTTTTTTCATGTAACTCTTTAGGACAGGACGTTCAGAGACTGTTCATCTGCTGTAGACAGGCCTGCCACCTCTTTAATCCTCCACAGATGTTTAAGGACTCGCTGCACAACATAAAAATGAATGAAAAAGCAGCCAACCTCCAACCTTCATGAAGCCTGGAGCAATACTGCTCAAGAGCACTTTACAAACATACCAAGAGGGTGTCAGTCACCTCGATAGCAAAACAAAGTTTGTACAGTACTGTGTATGGTCATCTGTGTGTGTGTGTGTGTGTGTGTGTGGGGGGGGGTCTTCATTAGTATGAACAAAATGTAAAAGTGTTTAGTAAAAGCTTGACTGAATTTGTACAGGTTTTATTCAGAAGTAGTTTATTTAAACTGTTCGAGTTGTCACAAATCAACACTCATAATAAAAGTCAAATGCAGGTTTCATGAGGACATGAAGTGTCTCCTGCTTTTATATCTTCTTAAAAACAACATCCAGGTGAGTCTCATTCACTGCGTCGGCCGTTTACTGCGCCAGCATTTCACTTTAAACCCCCTGCTGTGCGGTGGGCGTCAGTGACATCACACCCCTGCACAGACACGCCCTGTTTCTAGCCCTATCACAGCCATCGTTACATAAATGATGACTGGATTAGCATGTTCACCTGCAGCAGCACGGCGGGAAGACACATGTAAAAGCATCAGAACACAATTTGGTAAATATTAAAATATACAGCTCCTAATATCTCTACATTCATTTTTAACCAGGAGCATTGCATCAATGCATTTAACGCCACTGTCTAAAATAGCTCAATAATGCCCATCTGTGTGAATCAGGTAGAAATGACAACACAAAAACACGTAACACACGTTACAATAAGGTCTTTCCTGTGTGTAGTTCCAAAAAGGGGAACCCTAGTAGCACATAGACTTCATATCTTAGTGTTCAAAACACCGCAGCCAAGGCACAAAACAAAAGACCCGAGTAGGAAATCATGCTGCCCGTGAGAAAAAGACACGATGCACAGACACGCACACGGTTCACGTCCGTGTTTGTAGAAGAAATACTTTTTGTAAAGGCATCAGAAAGGGCAGCGTCTTCTTTGTGCACCAGGGGGCGCCATAGTTCTCCTAAAAAGTCTAAATCTGTCGCAGAAAAATACAACTTCTTCAATCATTAGAGGGATTCAAATACAGATTACAGTGAATAATGAATAACAGACTATAAAGTGATTTATCAACAGATTTACTACAATCAGAACTGTGTGCATGAGCAGCCATGTGGACATAAATCAGAGTAGTTTGTTCCATTTAAAATAGACCATATTATACACAAGAATTAATGTTTTAATACAAACAATATTTTTTTAAGCTCTCACTCAAAAAAAAGCAAAGATGAACTAAAACGCTGTCCTGAATATTTTCAAGTTCTTATAATACAGGGACCAGAAACGGCATCGCAGTGATCACGCGCTCTCATCATACGTGTTTTTATTGTTTTGATATTAGTGTTATGAGTGGTGTCACATTCGGTGGATCAACAATCATCTGTGCTTCTTTGCTCAGAGGCAAACCTACCCTGACCTGAAATCATCAACGGACCATGTTGGAGACATGGAAGTGGAAGCGAAGCCGTGGACTCGATGTGAAGCCACTATCTGGTTTTGGGTAGTCTGCTGTTTCTATTTGTCTGGTTGGTCAGGTTGTTCAGGACGCAGTTGTTAGCCAGCGATGCCAGTCTGGAGTTAATCGCATCCTTCCTCTGCTCCCAGCTGCACTCACCCCCGTCTTCCTCTTCTTCTTCATTGTCATCTACCGGACTTTCCTCGTCGCTGCGCACATCACCCTCGATCTGTGGAGAAGAATAAAAGTTAACCATCCGATTCCTCGTTTCCTGCTATCACTGCTGCTTAAACAGCCCCTCGTCTCACCTTGCCCACAAAGGCAAACCTGTAGACCATGCGCAGGATGAGATAGGCCCAGTAGATGTGCAGCAATTGTAGCACGAACAGAAGAGCGTTGAAGAAATAATAACCAAAGAAAGGCTCGTAGAACTGCATTGAAACGATCAGGGTGGTGTGGATGATCCTGGAGGGCAAACACAGAAACAGTGAGATCAGCTGTTCCTACAAACTCTCGAGCTTCAGAGCATCGTGTGTCGTACCGATAACGGGAAACTTTATCTGTGCTCTAAGACAAACTGTCTCGGTACAAACTGTACATCAAACCTAGTTGGACATTTGCACACCAACACATGAAACTACGTCTGATTTAACAGTTTCTTACCTGCTTGGAAAGACATACAGCCTCGTGACGAGGAACACCAGAGCAAAGAGGACAAACAGGACGTCGCATGTCTTCGCCCACAAGGCGTAGTGCAGCATCTTACCCACCTGTCAGAAAAAGGAAGGTAAAAGTTCCTGTGACTTAGAAAAGACAGTGAAGACGTTTAGGTTAAGTGCTGTGGGTGTGAGCCCACCTCCCCACAGCTTCCTGTTCATCGCCCCCTGACAGTAACGACCTGCTCAGGTGTTTTCAGGTTATGTCATCAGGTTTGATTTGTGGTCACACAATTACTGATGTTCTAATCTCGGACGTACGCCAGGGTCAGCTCCACCCCCATTTTCACTTTTAAATATAAAAAGTCATTTTTAAACATCGAGCACTTCAGTGTGTTTGTCCTGCAGGGGTCTCAAATCTGAACAGGTTAAAGTGTAAAGACGTCACCTGAGTTTACTGACTCGAACGTTATCTCTTTGTTCCAGGTGGTTTTAGCGCAGCGAGAGAGAAAACAAGTGGGTGTGGCTGGCTCGAAATCAAACCTCAGACTCACTGATGAACTCACCTGCACTCAGTAACTAATCATCTATTGGATATGAAGCCAGCATCGTTTTCCCTTTATGATTTTTATCAGCGTCCAGGCGACACCCTGTCACGCCCGAGTTGACACGACTGCATATTTCCTCATCTCATGTAACGCGGAAACAATCATCATCGTCACTCTTATCATTGAAACAGCCTCACAACACCCACGGACAAAGGAACAACTGTCACCGAGGTGGTCAAACCTTTACAGCCAGGACAAGCAACAACAGAACGAAACCTCTCGCTGTGCACGGCTCACAGGACGTGTGTGCTGGTATGAAAGAAGAAGGAAATTCACAAAAATACACAAGTTCCTCGTTTGTGCAATAATCTGCCATTTTAAACGTTTGTGTGCGAGCATAACGATGCAGTCTCCTCCACACTGCGCCGTGCAAAAGTCTCGAACCACCACTCAGTGTTTTATATTTTGCTTCCGAGGTGCCAGGCGCTCCTGGAATTTTTAAAAGTAGCCTTGAGCAGCGGTTTTAAACTTTCTCACCCATTTTCAGTCCAGTCCTTGGACCTGAGTCACTTAACACTAGGGCTGCCACAAACGATTATTCTGATAGTCGACTATTCAGATCATGCATCCATTGGACATACAGCGTACAGCTTATTGCACCAGCAGCATCTGCTCTTATATAACTATCATTAGCTTACAGCTTTAAGCTTTTAAGGTGCTAACTAAAAATAAAGACAAGATGATAGTTTATTAAATTTTAATGAAATTTGCAGATTGTTTCAGTGGAGTTTAATAAACTCCTTGCTATCTAAAATATAACAGGACACCGGAGTAAATTCTCCAGCATCTCACACTTCTGATGATCAGCTGTCTGCTTGACGTTTATTCAGCTGTGTAAAAACTATAACTTTAATCTCAGCCAAAC